TGCATGGCATCTCTAGGTATCTCGCTCTTGGCGTGCTCCTCAGTTCTATGCTTCTCTGTGCATGTGTGCGTGACATTCACGCATTCATACTCTTTCACCAGCACACGGGTGTGCACATGCTCTGGGCACTGCATTAGGCACTGGGTCTCCCTTTTAGGAAGTCTGAGAGCTCAAGTTGGCTCTGTTCTAGTTATGTGAGTGTGAGCCCAATGACATAGGTGTCAGGGATGTGTACCCAGGTGATGAGAAAAAAGCTTTGGTGGCTACCTGGGAAGCAAGAAAAACACCATCCAGGTTGTCACTACCTTTCCTCTGGACTTTATAAAGCCCAGTCCTTCTCTCCTCCCCAATCCAGCCTGTGTGTTCCTACATTACTTTTCTGAGATGCAGTTCTGAGCATCCTTTATCCGTATGCCTGGCAAAGCTCCACACTGCCCCCAGGATGACACAGACCTTGCTAGTTCATTCCCCAGGTTCCCTACTCTCTGAGTACACTGTGCATCTCCAAACTGCAGCCCCACAGCTCCCTGATGAGAACTCACCACCTCTGAGTGGTGGACAGGAAGGAAGCTGAGATCTACCATCAGACAGGCTGGCTGTGGCTCCCCGGGGCTAACCTCAGTCAATCCATCTGTAAAATGAAAGGGTTAGTTCATAGTCTGTAATGTCCATTTGGTGCTAGTAGTATTCTACAATGGCCCTAAAATTGAGATAAAGGTGCTGCCCGCCAAGAATTGCTATGAGGTTTGGGTAAAATCATTCTTGTAAAGTGCTCAGTTCCCAACACAATACATTCAAATAGACAGAGGCAGGGAATGAATTTAGAAACATTAGATCCTTCTTCATTTCTCTCTAGATCATATTAAAAATGAGGTTAGTGACTCTTAGAAATATCAATTGTCTTTCAAAAATTGGGGGATTTTATTCGAGAGTAGCCTTCTAATTTCCAGGGCAGAATTTAAAATGAAACGTGTAGTTGAGCCAGTTAGTCTTGGAGGTTTGGGAAAGACAAAAGGCTGGCAGAGTGAAATCACCCCGATCATTTCCCAAGGGTTTTGCTGCCGAACTCAGGACCCAGGCAGTGCCTGGGGAGACCCAGGGAAGACCGCACACCACACTCGAGGGGGCGATGAGTTATTCGTCTCCATGCCAGGAGCTTGACCCTGGAGACAGGGCCAAATCCCGTCTCTATGGGACCCGAATAACACACCATCCACACTTTGTTCCCATGGATAAATGGAACACAAGTACACCCTGCCTACTTCATCAAATCCCGTTCTACCAGGCAGCAGGAGAGAAAACGAGTTTACTTCGGTATCCTTTAAAAATTATTAAAGGTCTTAAATTATTTAAAAGTATTAAAAATTAAAAATAATCTCGAATTAAAAATCCGTATTTGTAATGAGCTTTAAATATTGAAAACCATAGACCTCCGAGGGTCAGCCTTATTTGTTTCCCGTTCTGTAAACTCCCTCGCCACCGTGTTGACACCTGCCTGTAGACACCGGAAATACAGAGGAAGGAAGACCTGCTTCCCTTGGGCCCAGATGTGGAAGGGAGCAGGGATAAGGAGGGCAGGAGTGTGGCTGCCAAACCATAATGCCATACAGCTGTGGCCTGTTTGCACGTGGCCGTGTTATGATGCTGATGAAAGGCAGCTGGGGGTGCCTCCTTGCAACTCCCTGGCAAGGCTCGCTAACACGTGGGCCTTGCCCGAGCACAGATAGAGCACGTCACATCTGCATGAAGTTTGCTGGCAGCATCTTTCATTAATCACCCCGGGCTGTCATGCTGCAGAGTGTTAACACAGGAGCCTTTTCAGAGAGCTTGTTCGCTGCTAGTGTTGAGACACCGTCCTTCTGTACACCAGACAGACAAATCCGCCGTGTTGGGGACACCTCCTGGGCCCTGGGCGGCTGGTTCCCACCTTCCTCTCCGCCCTCCCCCCCTTTGTTTCCCCAGGTCTCGCTCACAGCAGCGGGCTCAGCTGGAATAACAACACGGCCCGGTTTTGCTGATGCTTCCTCTGCTAATTCACTTGGCTTGCATTGACGCAAGGAGAGCCCCAGGGTGCATAATCCCAGAGGATGTGACATATGAATGAGCGCCATCAGTCCGGGGCCCCACTGAGAGGCAGAGAGGATCAGATAAGCCACTTTCAGACGGCCTTGACAATTGGGAGGAAGCTCCCAGATGCAGAGAACACTGCAGTCTACAGGCTTGTAAATAAGTAGGGATTTAAGGTTGGACAAATCCCAGCTCTGCCAATTCCTTGCTGTGCTGCTTCAGGCAAGTTGCTGAACCCTTCTAAAGTTTTAGTTGCCTCTGCAGAGTGGAGCTGCAAATGCCCACCAGCTGAAAGCTGTGCCACAAACCTACCCAGCACCTCCGAAAGTTTCCTCCCACCCTCTGTATTTATCATATGCGTGTGTGTATGATGAGAACACAACACAACACTGACTCTCTTGCACAATTTTAAGTATACAATAAGGTATTGTTAACTATAGAAACTATGCTAGCCAGTGGCTCTCTAAGACATACTTATCTTGTATAACCAAAACCTTGTATCCTTTGACTGGTACCTCCTCATTTCTTCCTCCCCCCAGCTTTTGGCAACCACCCTTCCACTTTGCTTTTATGAGTTTCACTAATTCAGATTTATTGTAAAAGTGGTATCATGTCATATTTATCCATTCACAGGTTCATACTTATCTTCAAACTCATTAAGTTGTAGACATTGACTATGTACAGCTTCTGTTTGTTAAAAAAATTAAATAAAAAAAGTCGACTTGGAAAAAAATAAATTGTGAAGATAAATGTAAATGAGTGGGTTGAACCGGCCCATGAGAATAAAATGGCTACCAACCAGACTTGAACCTGCCTCAGTGCCTCAATAAGTGCTCGAAAGTACTGGTTCTTCTCTTTTGTCTTTGGACTCTTTTTAGATGTCAAATGACCTTGGTCCTGCCTTTAAGAGTCTGAGACTTGGAATGATGCTCTAGCAACTCTAGGCCCCAGTTTAGAAAACTAATGAGTTGGACAATATCACTTCCAACATGCTTTCCAGTACTGTCTTTGATTCTAAAATCCAGATGTGGTCAAGATCAGAAGAAGGCCAGAACCTTAATTTAAAAGCCAAAGTTCTTTCTAGGATCCCAGGAACTGTTTGCCTTTTCATTCAAAATCCCTGGATTTCCACACTGCCCGCCCATGTTGGAATTTTGCACACTGCCCGTGTTGGAATTTTGCACACTGCCTGTGTTGGAATTTTGCACACTGCCCGTGTTGGAGCGGCCGCCTCGCTTCGCAAATGGGACGACTCGCCACACTTACGTTAAGCTCGTTGTACGCAGTCACAACATACCATTTTCACTTCACATGTCATGAGTTACAAGTCTGAGGAGGCTTTGGGGGCCTTAATCAAAGACCAAGACATCATGGAAGAGACCATATGTTTAAAGTGTCGAGAGAGCTCTCGGGCCCAAGATAAATGATTTGCTCCTCACCGGCTGATTTCCTGTTAATTTCTGCAGAATCGCAGGCAACTTGAAAGGACGCCAACAGCTAACCACAGGGGCTCCCAGGCCGCAGCTGCACGGCGCCTCTGAAGCCGACTGGCCGCCTCCTGCAGGCCACGGGGCAGAGAGGCTGCTGCCAAATCCCTCACTCTTAGTGGCTCTGTGGACTGGGCAAGTTTGAGCTGTCTGAGTGCCTTGTTTCCCCTTCTGTGAAGCTGAGGCCCTGACAGCTGCCCCACAGGGTCGCTCTGAGGATGAACATGCTGAACAGAAGGCGACAGAACAGGCTGGAAGCCGAACCTGTTAACTGGGGTCTCCTGGTTACTAACGTCTCACTGCTTAGCTACTCTGTGCCCGGTGTCCCAGCCACCAAATAGGCCTCATAAATATTTACACCTGATGTGTGTTGCGATGCTCAGTTAATTGCTCCTGTGACGCACTTTGAGAGCCTCGGAGGAAAGGTGTAATGCAAGGGCCGGGATTATTAAAGACACAAACAAGTCGGCTCCTGGAAGCAGCATCCTTTGGAGCTTTCCACTGCCTTGGGGCTTTTTCTATCACTTCCCCAAACCTAGGGAAAACGTGCTTCCAAAAGCATACTGTCCCGGGGCGAACACCAAGGCTCTGCAAAGACCTTGTCGGAAAATGGGCAAAGACTCGTACAGACAACTTACTGAGGAAGGAACGCAAATGGCCCAAAACCTTTTGGAAAAAAAAAAAAAAAAATTCAATCTTACTAGACATCAAGGAAGTAAAATGGATAAAATAAGGAATCAAGGGGCAAGTAGGCAGTGTGGTTGCAAAGTATGGATTTAATGATGGTCAAATACAGAGAGATGGTTACTTCATCCTCTATGGATGAGAATATAAATTCGTATGAATTGACTCAGCCCATCCAGAAAGCAACTGAGTAATGTACAACAATGGGACTCGAATGTTCATGTTATCTGACCCCTTCATTACTCTTGATAAAGTCTCTCCGTAGAAATTTTCAGAGATGAGATTTAAAATGCAAGAATAAATGCACATTACAACATAATGTACAATAGTCAAAACTAGCAAAACCTAAATGCCCCCCTGCGAAATATTATTTAACCAATAAATATAACCTTTTTGAATAATATTTAAAGATACAGAATATATTTGTAACATCTAAACCCTATACATTTTTTGTATTATTTTTATACATACATATATTTAAACGTACGCATACATCTTCATACACAGATACACGTATGTACATGAAAGTCAACCAAAATGTAACCTGTGGTGTTGATTTTTATTTTCTTCTACATGGTTTTTTTTTTCCTATTTGCTATATTCTCTATTAAAAAAAATGTCACTTCTGGTCTACAATAACATAAGCATGAGGAAAATTCATAGGTTGATTTGTGAAACAGCGTTTGATGACTGCCCACCCTGTGGGGCAGGTTGGTGAACTCCGGGCAGCTGACACTCACGTTGTTCTCTTTTCTGCCCTAGGTCATGGCCGCGGCTCAATAGTGCCACAGGTGAGTCAGGGTCCCCAGTCATCTAAGCAGTGGGAACGCCAGCGTGGGTCTGCTGGGCTGTTCTTTCTGTTCTTTTTGTTTTACTTTCCATAAAACTATTGGCCTGTTTATAATGAAATTAGCTACTTGTGATCCTTCTCTCCAGTTGTTCCCAGGGTACAGCCTGGTCTGTGACTCTCACAAGCGTTGGGCGCTGACAGATCAGGTGGGGATCCTGGCTCTGCACTTGTTAGCTGTGCAGCCTTGAATGAAGCGTAGGTCCCTCTGAGCCTGAGTTTCTCCATCCGTGAAATGGGTATAAGTGAGCCTCAGTGCTAGTATTGTGGCTACTCAGTCATGTTCAATCAACTAAACCTCTGTAATAGTTTTTCCCCAAAACATGAGTTGAGTGAAAGAATGGTTCAGAAGCCACATTTTATGCTTCTCTTGTGTCTCTTGGGAGAGCCTGTTTCCTGGTACCAGGCACTTCATAGGAGCTCATTTGAGTCTGAGTAAAAGTATGTACCGTATTGGTCTTGGAAGGTTGTCATCTCAGGAAAAGTCCCACCCAGCTTCCTTAGAAAGCTGGTGGCTAGATATGATGACAGGAATGAGACAGAAAAATTAAGACATGGTCCAGAGAAAGTGTGCAAAGCAGAGATAAAATCATAGGAAGTTGTGTAATCAGCAAGTGAATTTGAAAGCTCCATCACAGAGCAGGTCGGGGTATATAATAACAGGCACTCGGCATGCCCCAGACAGCAGTGAGAATTGGGCAGAAGCAAAGCAAAATCGTGAAGTGTGACTTTAAGCGGGGAATGAGCGCCCACCTCTAACCCCTCTGACAGAAAATGTTTTTATTAAACTCCCCAGTCGGGCCTAACAGAGGTTGTGCTCTTTTTAGGTAGACGCTTCCTAATTGAACTAGAGTCTTTAATCTCAAATAGACTCTTCTTACCTGCCTGCCCTTCTCATTGCCTCCTGCCATCCTCAGGAGTCCTGGAGGAAACTCTAGAAAATTCTAAGGGGGGTGGCAAGTGGGACTGAAGTTGCTTATCTGATGCAGTGGCTGGTGAATTCTAAACCACACAGGTAAAATAGAGCAGCCAATTCCTACCTACCTGTACCCTCCCCTTCCATCCTGCTCCCCACCTTGGGTAAGGCAGAGAAAAACTGGCAGGTGGGCGTTCCATTTCATTGACACCATTCTAGAGGCACAGGCAAGGAAAAGAAAGCAAATCAAAATCCCCGAAAAGTCAGTTGAGATAAAGCTGCCCAGGCTTGCCTGTGCACGCTAGAATCCATACCCTGCCAAAAGTGCTTAGCAGCAAATCATGCCATCCCAGCCTATGCATACTTATGAACGGCTACAAATGCCTACTAAAATATAGCAGAACCTGATAAAATCAAGGATGTGCATAAAGATTTACATGAAAGAATGCTCATCACAGTGGCATTTGTAACATTCCTAGATACTTCAAGTGGTTTCCAACGTTCTACCATGGGAGTAGTTAAAAATAGGGTAGGGCATCCATGTGAGAAAATACTCTGTAGCCATTAAAAAGTGATGACATTGAAGCATATTCATTGTCATGGATAGGCTGATATGTAGTTTTGCAAAAAAGCCTGGAAAAGAGCAGTATACACAGTGTGATCACATATGTATAGTCTCTCTATATACATATATAGACTGTATATCTGTGTGTATGTGTATAGATAGTCTGTGTGTGTGTGTGTAGTGTGTGTGTGTTTGTGTGTGCATCTGAGTGATTTGGCTATAATCAAATACAGTGCTTGTTTTGGCATGGTAACATTATAGTGATTTTTATTCTCTTCTTTTTTTGCATATTCATGTCTTACACTTTTCCTCAGTAGCATGTATTTTAGTATACTAAAAATAATCTATCAAAAAACAAATTCTTAAAAAAAAATACTCCAGACCTAGAGAAGAAGGCAAACACATATTCAAACTGGGACAATCCATCAAAGTCAATACCTTCTCAGAGGCCTATGTAGAGAACAGCACTATGTTTTTCCACAAAATAAACTCATGAGTTTTTCTCCTTCCACTGAATAAAGAATGAAATTTCAGGAGGTGCCCTATTTAGAAAGTGGGTCCTTCTGTCTTATGTGACCACACACAATAAAAACCCCGATAAAAATAGATATTGGCTGATTCCATTAGAAAAATTTCATCTTGTCAAGAAAAAAAATATATATATATAAGTTTTTTTAAGGAAAGCAGTCTTTAAGGTTACTTTTAAAAGAAAAATTAGTAAGAATTTTAGAACTAGAGGGAGAAGTCAAGTATAGAATATGTGAGTCTGCAATGCCCCCTGCTGGCTGTTTCTAGATGTTGCGATGCCTGTCTTTCACAGAGGCTAGTGTCAGCCTGGTTCTCCCCAGGATGTTGGGACTATTGGTGCACATCAACAAATAAAAATGGACAGTTGAATTGCTGAGAGACACAAAGTGTTTGCCCAGTTCTTGTAAAACACAAGCCAGGATTTCAAATCATGCCAAAATTAGTAAACTCAAGAAGTTAACCATTGTCTTCAAAATTCAGTGTGTTTTAGAATCACAACAGATAGGGTTTATGTGTTAGCAGGCCGATAGTGAGGCCATAGCATCCTTACTTTTAAGATAATTCCAATGCAGGTAATTCTAGGCTGCTCTTTTGAGAATCACTGGCTAAGAAAGAATCAACACTGTGCCCGTCAAGAAGCTGCTCTTAATTCCCTAGGTAGCAACTGCTTCGGTGTATTTCACCTGAGTTTCTGGAGAGCCCAGGGAATGGGATGGGAGACAGCTGCCCTCCCTATCGCCACTCATTCACTCATCTATCCACCCATTCATTCCTCCAGTTTGTGGTAGGTCCATATAACCACAGTTGGGCACAGATTTTTAAAAGAGAAAAATAAAAATGAAAAATCCCGAGGACTCAGTTTGTCTGAGGTTGTAATACTGTACTTTGCTGATGAGGAATTTAAGAACTAGAGAAGGGAAGTAAATTTCCCAGGGCCACCTAGTGAGAACATTTAGCCTGTTCTTCAAACTCCCATTAAATGTTTCCTGTGTAGCTATTTCTGTGAGTTTGGACTATTTGTGGCTTGAAATTTTTTTTTAATCTTCATCGAGTTTATTAGTGTCATTTATTTCAGGAGAACTTTGTGGGATTCCTCAGGAATTACCTCCTGCCTTATAAAATGGGAGTGTTGAACAAGGTCAATTCTCTTATCAACCTCATGTCTTTTTTTTATACGTGTGTGGCTTGAAATTATTAGCTCATAACCATCAAGGCATTGGTTTAGGGAATAAACTGAAATGCAGAGAGACTGAGTCTCTTTGTCCCCTGTGTATATATATGCAGTCATGTTTCACTTAATGACAAATACATATTCTGAGAAGTGCGTCATTAGGTGATTTCTTCATTGTGTGCACATCATAGGGTGTAGTGACACAAGCCTAGGTGGCATAGTTTATTACACACCTGGGCCACATGGTACAGCCTATTGCTCCTGGGCTACAAACCTGTACAGCACGTTACTGTACTGAATTCTGTAGGCAACTGTTACACAATGGTATTTGTGTATGTAAACACAGAAAAGATATAGTAAAAACACAGTATAAAAGATTAAAAATAGTACACTGTACAGGGCGCTTATCATGAGTGGAGCTTGCAGGGCTAGAAGTTTCTCTGGGTGAGTCAGTGAGTGAGTGACGAGTGAATGTGAAGGCCTAAGACATTATTGTACACTAGTGTAGATTTTATAAACACTGCACTTAGGCTACACTAAAATAAATTCATTTTTTTAAAGTTTTTTTCTTCCATCATAAATTAACCTTAGCTTACTGTAAATTTTTACTTTATAAACTCTTTAATTTTTTTAATTCTTTGACTCTTTTGTAACAACACGGCTTAAAACACAAACACATTCTACAGTTATACAAAATATTTTCCTTATATCCTCATCACCTGTGTTCTTTTTTTCATTTTTAATTATTTTTCACTGTTCTTTACTTTGTTGTTGTTGTTGTTAAAAACTGAGACACAGTCACACACATTAGCCCAGCCAGCCCTACACAGAGTGAGGCTCATCAATATCACTATCCTCCACCTCCACATCTTGTCCCACTGGAAGGTCTTCAGGGACAATCACACTCATGGAGCTGCCATCTCCTTTGATAACAACAGCTTCTTCTGGACACCTGCTGAAGGACAGCTGCAGGCTGTTTGACCAGTTAACTTTTTTAATATACAAGTAGAAGTACAGTACACTAGGAAACAAGATAAAAAGTATAGTATAGTAAATACATAAACGAGTAACATAGTCATGGATTACCATCAAGTACTATGTGCTGTATGTAACTGTTTGTGCTACACTTTTATATGACTGGTGATGTAGTAGGTTTGTTTACACACTCACCACAAACAAGTGAGGAACATGTCACACTACAGCATTATAACACCTGTGGTGTCGCTAGGCAATAGGGATTTTTCAGCTCCATTATAATCTTAGGGGACGACCATCATTATTTGGTCCATCATTGACTGAAACATCACTCACTATGTGGCACTTGACAGTGTGAGTATATATTTTTCTATATCTTTATTTCTATTTTTCTCTTCCTCCCTCTCTTCCTTCCTCCTCCCCAAGTATAAGCCACATAGTCAAAGATCTTTGAACATCATAATCCTTCATTCAGAGATAGTGAAAAGGAACATAAGGAATTTTATTCCTGCATTTTCCTACAGATGTGGATTGATGCCAAACTGAAGATGTTCTAAAGTTTGGAACCTGCTAGGGGGAAGGGTGTGGACTGTTGTCATACTGAGATGAAAATCAACTCAACTCCCTCTATCCCCAAATAAGTTCCAGTTCCTAAAAGGTAAAGACTGAGGGAGGCAGCACCGCACAGAGGAAAGAACCTGGGATGTTAAGTCTGGAGCCCAAAATTTGAATACTGGCTCTCTTGTGACACCAGTGAGCCCTGGGACCTGAGGAGGAAGGAAAAGGAAA